TCATTTGGAGTATCTGATTTTCAATAAAATTTTCAGGTAAAAATATGTCTGCGGACTTGCAACGCTAGAAACCGGGTTTCGATACCCGTGGTGGACAGAACATAGATAGCCCATTGTGTAGCTTTGTGCTTAACTTCAAACAAACAATGTAAAAAAAAAAACATCTCTGTGTCTGTTATTCATCACAAATGCAACACATTCACTCTTATTGGTCGTATAAAAATAATCCCGAATTTGAAGTTCCTTGGTGGGTTAGCGGTAAGTTTACGACGCTAAAGTCCGGGATTTGACTCCCCGCGGTATATACAGAAGACAGCCCAATGTTGCTTTGCGCTAAACCGAACTTAAAATCTAGAAAAGTCACGTACTTTTGTTTAGTGGTGACCAAACTTCCGGTGCCGTTAGTCTACGTTAACTTCTAGACAAATAAGATGACAACAGATTGTAGTGGGTGGGTCAGAGAGCATGGGATTTCGGAACTTGGTGGCGAAATGATAAAACCGCCATACCGATTTGCTCCTTTAAAAAAAATAAAAAAGGAACTGTTGGCATGGCAACGATAGCCTGCCACTACTGTACATTATTTATGTTAGTCTGTCTTCTTCGTGTCAGAGTATAAATTCAGTATTTTAGATCAATGATTGGCTAGTTTACCTAATCCATCTGATGTCATGTGCCCTGGCTAAATTCTCATGATGATGATAACATAATTAGCTTTAATTCGCCCATTTACGACAGTAAATCCTCTATTTTCATACTACGCCAAATTCCAGTATTTCACAACAGCCAAGTCTCTTATTGGAGTTTCGATTTTCCGTACCTAACTCATCGGTAAAGTTGATCAGTAGAAGGGGGCGTTGATACCATAGAAACGACTAGATCTTCAGTTGCTATGACATGTGATTTTGATCAGTAGAAGGGGCGTTGATACTATAAAACCGACTGGAGATAGGTCTTCAGTTGCTATGACATGTGATTTTGATCAGTAGAAGGGGCGTTGATACTATAAAACCGACTGGAGATAGGTCTTCAGTTGCTATGACATGTGATTTTGATCAGTAGAAGGGGCGTTGA